TTAATCCAACATTTAATAATTCCAGTGGATTAGAACTCAGTTAAACTTGATTAGTAATATTATGCTGTATAAGTGTGACTTGGAGTGAATGGGAAGGAAAAGCAGAATAATTATCAATTTCTTCCCCCTACTTGCTCCCTCTCTCTCTCCCCCCTATTTCCCTTTATATGTTTGGGCATATGATACATATGTTTTTATTGTGTTCTTGAACTCATTATAGTAAAAGCTCAAATTGGACCTAAATAATGTGATAAGAATCCGAAGGAGAATTAGAGTTTTCTTGTTTCTTTTATAAGCTATTTTTAGGGGTGATAATTCGGGTTTACATGATATAACACAATACGAATTTAATACGAATATGAATACACTCATCACGAACACAATACGAATATAAAAACACGTCAAAATCTTTAATATAAATACAACTTGCTTATTTTGTGAGTTAACACAATATGACATAAATAACTCGTCAACCTTAAAATATGTCTTGTTGTATGATTGACACAATATAAATAATTTGTCAACCTCAAAGTGCGTCGCTTGTTAACACGATAAGACACTGACAATATGTATACTGGATGGAGCTTCACCAATGTTATGTTAACATGACACTACACCCAATAACCTTTAAGAAGATTAATGTGGGTCAATTTCTTCTTTGCAAGTTGATACACAACACAACATGGATTTTTTTGTGTTAGTTTTTTCTTACAGAAACTCGATATAAATTTGAAAACAGATCAACACAAATACAAATTTTTTGTGTTATTTCGATGGGTCATGTTGAAAATTGGGACTTATACTATTTTAGCCAGACATATTCATGACTTAAACAAATTAAAATAGAAATTGTTCATGAAAGAAAAAGAAAAGAAGAAGAAGAAGAAGAAAGAAGATCAATGTTCTTCGGTCTTCAACTCCATCGGAATCCTGATCTCCAGCGTGAGTCTCCAAAAATTTTCTCAATTCTCTAGTCTCACAAGTCTCTCCAGCCAAAGATGATTTGTCTCTGAGGTCTGAGTCTCTATTTATAGAGTTTGTGCCTTGCTTAGAAATCTTGATCAAATCTCCTTCATATATCTGGGTCCAATCTTTCTCTGATACAATCTGGAATAAATTAAAGATTTTCCGTACTTCCAATTTTGGCTTCTTTTTGTCCTGTTTTCCTATAAAATTATAAAAAAAATCAGTGACAAGATATCTGATTGAGATTTATCAATTTAATAATAATTCTAGCCCTTTTTATTCAAGATTTATCAAAATTCTTTCTTTTTTTGGCTTAAAATCATATATATCCCGGAGACATATCAGTAACTCCCTATTCTAGAATTACCAGTGCCTTATCAAGCCATCTTTCTGATGGGATCAAACTTTATAGCATATCTTTAGCCATTTTCGCCCACAGTTGGGTTAAAGAAAGTTCAACATTAACATTGAGATAGACAATTGAGAAGACTAGGAATAGAAAGTTATTGCATACAAGCATTGACAATGTAGTGATGACAAAAAAAGTGGTTGTCAACTTTGATGGGTCATGGGATTTCACTACCATAAATGATGCAGTAGATGCTGCAACTAACAATACCGGCACCTACAACGGGTACATTGTAATTTTTGTTGTTGCTGGGATTTACAATGAGCACGTGTCTATTGCTAAGGGCAAGGAGAACCTTATGATCGTTGGAGATGGCATCAACCGTACTGTGATCACTGGCAACCGCAGCGTCGTTGATGGTTGGACCACTTTGCAATCTGCAACTTTCGGTAAGCTGAAAGTTCACCTTGGATCATGTTCTTCTAGGCAAGACAACCCTTTCTAATGAGGTTTAAATAAAAAATTCTTCATAATAATACACTTTTTAAATATATCACATGTAGTTAATTATGCAAGAAATACATATGGGATTAGTCCTGTATGTTTCTAATGCGGGACTGTCATGCTAGACTAATCTTGTATGCATTTCGTGCGAAACTTGATAGAATGTGAGTTTGGGCATTGCATGATACCAATATCATGCCATGTGACTTGGACCAATAAGTCTTGTGCACTGATCATGCAAGACTAGTCCTTCACATCAACCATGTAAGATATGTTAGTGTATGGTACGGCTAACATGCAGGATAGTCTCGTTTGATGAATGAGAGTAGGACTAATGCTTTATTTTTGTCGAAGTTGATCCTGATTCAACATTAGAAGTATATTAATTTCCCCCAATAACTGAATATTTTTGTCTATAAATACTGCATATTTTATTTAATTCATAAATATATATTTTTTCCCCTATGAGTTTTAATCTCAATTAGAATTCCATTTTCTTACTGTACTTATGTTATGATTTGAATATGCCACACTAATTCATTATATATGAATGATGAGATTCTATTAATACATAGCTATTTGCTCTCTTTTCTCTGACAGATGGTCGAAACGTCATCTGAGGTCGAATCCTGCTTAGAAGTCCACTAGAGATCATAAATTGTTGAAAAAAATGTTTCTTTTATTCTTTCCAAGCAATAGGAAAAGAAAGAAATAGTATTATATTCAGGATAATAATGTATTTACAAAATACTATCTCAATTCATCCTATTTCATCATATCCAAGATGTGATATGGTTCCGAAGAAGTGGACGTTCTAATAAGGTTTCATTGCATTAATTTGATTATATATTTAAAAATAAATTTTTTTATAACTATTTTTTAAAATTACGGTAGTTCCGAAAATTTTGGTTTTAAGTCTCATAAAAATTTTCGAATTCAAATCTAGTCAAAAAAAATAAACCGGGCGGCATTTAGACAAAATTTACATTACTTACACGATAGCATTTCGACTCTAATCCGCTTAGTAGATAACTCTCTTAAATGCATACGAGGAAGGGTGTCACACTAATTGGTATCAATTTATAACTATTTTTTAAAATTACAGTAATTCTGCCATTTTGCGTGTTTTTCTATATCACATTTATTTTCAGCACTTGGCCAAGTTAATTACCGAATTTTGGTCTTGTGGCCGAAAACTAGGTCAAAATTTCATTAAATCTTATCAGTTTCTCAACGGATTTCAAACCCAATGAAAATCCATATTACTTTTTTTTTTTTAACTTAGCCTAAGGTTCTAAGGTGGTGTTTGGTTGGGAACTTTTCAGCGGATATCTATGTTTATAAAATATGGCTTTTAGAAATACCATGTTTGTTTCAATGTATTTTCACCAAAAACTCATCTATCCAATTTGTCTGGATTTATGAGAAACATAGATATCCGCACTGTTTAGAAACCCAATTTGAAGGTGAGATTTTTCGGAAAACCGGTTATCTGGCTTTTAATGCATTGTTGATTTCATAAAGTTACTTAATTTTTCCAGTAAAGTTTTTCCCCACCAAACTACTTTTTTTTACATTTTTCTACCTATCTCACTTTATCTATCTTTCCAATCATTTCTCTATCTATTACATTTCCTTACTATTCCAAAAAAATTTCCTAAACCAAACGCCCGTAAGATACACTCAATTCGATATTCTCTGATTAATTAAAAGAGCTTTTTTCTTAAATGATAATTCAGAAAACTCTGTATCTCATGACAGATGTAGACTAATTTGATTGCTACTATCGTTCTGCAGTTGTAGCTGGAACAGGGTTTGTTGAAGTGAACATAACATTTCGTAACACAGCGGGGTCCAGCAAGCATCAAGCGGTTGCTGTGAGAAACGGCGCGGACTTATCCGCATTCTACAATTGTAGTGTTGAAAATGAAGGCTACCAAGACACACTTTATGCACATTCCCTAAGGCAATTTTACAAAAGCTGTCACATTTATTGCACAGTGGATTTTATATTTGGCAATGCAGCAGCAGTATTCCAGGATTGTAACATGTACCCAAGAGTAAGACTTCCTATGCAAAACCAATTCAATGCAATAACAGCACAAGGTCGAACAGATCCTAACCAGAACACTGGCATCTCCATAATACAGAACTGTTGCATTATAGCAGCAAGTGAGTTGGGTAATGCTACTAGCAATTATAATGACATAAAAACGTATCTCGGTCGGCCTTGGAAGGAGTATTCAAGGACAATTTACATGCAATCTTTTATAAGGATTGTCCATTTAAAGGGTGGGGGTTTACTTTTAAAGATAAAGAGAGGTTATAAACGTTAATAAGAAAATCAACAATTAAAATTACAATAAAATATACATGCATATATGATATAAATTTATCAATATCAAAATCTAATTCCTTAAATTTTACAAATAACTATAATTCATTGTTTTTTCCTTTTCCATGTTATTCCGGAGGAACCATGGAAAAGGTTCGAAATGGAATCTGCCAACTAGTTATAACCTTTTTAACTAAAGCCAATCCAACTATGACTATAGAGTAAACTACACCAATCGCTAGCAACCGAAACACTCCTAACTCCTAACTTGTGCCCCTGCTCTAGATTTATTGGTTGATGCGTTTGGCATGCCATTCACTATCTTAGCCTTTTTTTGCGTAGAGGTTATCCAAACTAACGCCAAATATAAAAGATAAGAAGCTAAATCCGTGCCCACCACGCATGATCAGAAACAAAAAAAAAAAAAAGTGAGCAAATGTTCAGCTGTAAAATTAGCATAATCCAAAAAAAAAAAAACCAGAAAGGTTCTATATATTGTGCGGCTTCCGCTATTCACCTTTATCACAATTAGCATAACCAAGTTCTAAACCATTCTTTCATCCATCTACATAAAAAGAAATTTCTATTTTGCACGCCAATTACAGAGACACAAACTCCTAAGGGGTTTGACGGAGGATTGCCACCGTCTCAGCAACTCCTCCTTTTGCATAGTGCGTGCAGGAATCAATGCACAAGTTAGAAAAACATATAGAACAGAACCCCCAAAAAAAAAGTTATTTAATTTGTATATAAGTGTTATCATTATTTAATTACTTTAGTTTGTTTTTTTGTTTTTTTTCCTTGGACGCGCTACCGTTATTGTATTGCATAAATAAGAAGGTGAAAATGAATGGGGCAGATGCACATAAGAGGAAGAGAATTGTCATCATTAGCGTCTCTACCTTCTTACTTGTGGCTATGGTCGTGGCCGTGACAGTTGGTGTCAACTTCACTAGTAATGGTTCCAATGATGATGATCAAAAGAACAATGAGAAGAAGAACCATGTATATTCCACCGTAAAAGCAGTCAAAACCCTTTGCCAACCCACCGATTACAAGAAAGAATGTGAGGAAAGCCTTAAAGCAGAGGCTGGGAACACCACTGACCCAAGAGAACTCATTAAAATTGCCTTCAATGCAACCATTACGAAAATCAGTAACGGACTCAAGAAAACCGATCTCTTGCACGAGGTTGAGAAGGAACCTAGAGCCAAAATGGCACTTGACACGTGCAAACAACTCATGGATCTTTCAATAGAGGAATTCACGAGGTCACTTGAGAGAATGGGAAATTTTGATCTCAACAATCTCGATAACATTCTCACGAGTTTAAAGGTTTGGCTCAGCGGTGCAGTGACTTACCAAGAGACTTGCTTGGATGGTTTTGATAACACCACAAGCGAAGCTGGTAAGAAGATGAAGAACATTTTAACGAGTACCATGCACATGAGTAGCAATGCTCTCGCCATCATTTCAGAACTCGCGAAAACTGTGTCGGAAATGAATTTGACAAGATCAGATGGTCGTCGTTTGATTCAGGATTCTGTGGATGATCAACAAGTTCTTGATCACGATGAGATTGAGCTAATTCCCTCATGGGCTGATAATGATGGTGCTGGTGTTCGTAGACTCCTTCACACAAGTCCACGCAAACTCAAGGCTCATGTGGTTGTAGCCAAAGATGGCAGCGGAAAGTTCAAGACCATCAACAAGGCATTGAAGCTGGTGCCCAAGAAGAACAAAAAGCCATTCGTGATCTACATCAAGGAGGGTGTTTATCATGAGTATGTTGAAGTTACCAGGGAAATGACACACGTGGTGTTTGTCGGCGATGGTCGCAGAAAGACACGAATCACTGGCAAGAAGAACTTCATAGATGGGTTTAACACTTACAGAACCCCCACAGTTGGTATGTATCCTTTCATACTTATAGGATTAATGATGGGGGAATATATTTTTCATGTTGCATGAGTTTTTTCTCTTTTCTTCTCAATGGGTAACACACATTTTTTGTGTGTACATATTTATAATTTTGTCTCATCCAACATAAGAATTATATTTCTCTAATTATACTACTAGAAAAATTTTGTATAGCGAGAGAATTGTTATGCAAATTTCATCGCTAATTTCATCATCGCAAACGATTTTGCGAGGGAATTTGCGAGGAAAAATAGTAGCAAGGATGAAATTAGCAACGAAATTTTCATAACAATTCTCTAGTTACAAAGGATTTTTCAGTAGTAATTATAACACAGGTTATTATTTTGTCGCCTTTGTAATCTTGATTAGGACATGCATCCGATTAGTCCAATAAAAGATGAATCAGTGCAAAAACAATTTCAAAAAAATTACATTTTAAAAATATAAATCAAATTAAAACCATTTGTGATTTGTGGGAGATTTTTATAATTACTTGGGAATGACCATGAATTGAAATGTTAATGCATGCATGCAGCTATTCAAGGAGATTACTTTGTGGCCATCAATATGGGGTTTGAGAATTCTGCTGGCCCCCACAAGCATCAAGCAGTAGCTATAAGGGTCCAAGCAGACAAGTCCATATTCTACAAATGCGCAATGGATGGGTATCAGGACACACTGTATGTTCACGCCATGCGCCAGTTCTATAGGGAATGTACCATTTCAGGTACCATAGACTTCATCTTTGGTGATGCAGTGGCTGTTTTCCAAAACTGCACTTTTGTGGTCCGAAAGCCAATGCAAAACCAGCAATGCATTGTGACCGCACAAGGGAGGAAGGAGAGGCACGAACCAACAGGAATAGTGATCCAAGGTGGTTCCATTGTGTCGAACCGTGGAGTGAAGTTTGACAGCAAGGCCTATCTAGCACGTCCATGGAAAAATTACTCAAGGACCATCTTCATGGACACCTACATTGAGGATTTGATTCAACAAGACGGTTATATGCCATGGCAAGGACCAGAGGGTCTTTCTGGTACGGACACTTGCTTCTATGCAGAGTATAACAACACTGGCCCTGGTTCAAACAAATCCAAGCGTGTAAAATGGCCTGGGATCAAGGCCCTCACATCAAAATCCGCACGTGGTTTCTTACCATCCACGTTCTTTAATGGTGATGATTGGATTAAGGTTACTAGGATTCCATACTCTTCTGGCGAGGCCTCTCCCAAGCACTAGGCGAGATCTTTTTTGGGAGGGTACGTAATTAGTAATGCTTGTGCTGTTCGATTCTTTTTCTTTTATATTTGTTTCATTAGTTTTGAAGTCGGTGTATATATGTACTGTCCTTTTTGTCACACTTTCAAAAACTGCAGATTATAATGCTTATGTTCCTGCAGTAAACGTAGATTCACAATTTATGTAACTTAAATCCCTCTTTAGGCGATTTGATTGTTAAGTGACTAGTTATTAGCTAGGCCTCTTTTGTAAGAACAGTGACCATTTTGCCATGCTTGGCAAAAAAATTCACCAGACTGCCACGCCAACAATAAATTTTGCCAAAATGCCACGCGACATATTTCGCTACACTGTGTAGCGAAATATGTTTGCATATAATTCGCTACACAGTGTAGCGAAATATGCCATGTCAGGTTGCAACAGTCAGCAAAAATGACACGTGTCAAGTAGGCAGAATCCAAGCATAATTCGCTACACAGTGTAGCGAATTTCTGTCTGCTTGACACGTGTCATTTTTTTTTACTGTGCAGCCTGACATGGCATATTTCGCTACACTGTGTAGCGAATTATGTGCCAACATATTTCGCTACACAGTGTATCGAAATATGCCGCGTGATATTTTAGCAAAATTTACTGTTGGCGTGGCAGTCTGGTAAATTTTTTTGTCAGGCGTGGCACAATGGTCACTCTCCCTCTTTTGTATATCTGGTAATTGATATTTATTATAGTTATATATTACTTTTGATTAGTGATTTTTGGATTGTTTAGTGTGTAAATAATGATTTTTGGGTTAAATTAGATGTTGTTTTTTTAATTGGGTTTATTTTGAATTTCATAATAAAAATTCAGATTTACATTACTGCGGTATTTTGACCATAACTCATTCCACAAGTGTCCGATTGAACCCATTCTTGTTGCGTTTTGCAGCTAACTCAGAGGGCTAAAAATGTTATAAAGACATGAAAGCCCATTTCGAACAATAGGATGGTCGAAAATCAATCTCAAGTTCATCACGAGTTGCTGCAGTTTTAATTAGTTAATTGGATTTAAGTTTGTAATTGGGAACCCAATCTTTATGAGGCCCAAATCTATTATTTACCTTTTATTTCCTTTTATACTAGGTCAAACTTGTAGAGCCTATATAAAGCCATGTTTAGGAAACCTTGTCATTCAGTTTTAGTTTTAGTTTTAGTTTTAGTTTTAGTTTTAGTTTTGAGAGTTTATGTTTTTACAGTTTCAAGATTCAATGGTAATTTACGTTTTCTCTCTTCTACTCTTTTGTTCTTCTTTATTTTCTTAATTTCAATTATGGTTTTCTACTTAGACATGCTAGGCTAAGCGTTCTTTCAATTATGGCTAAGTAGGAAACCTTGTCATTCAGTTTTAGTTTTAGTTTTAAGAGTTTATGTTTTTACAGTTTCAAGATTCAATGGCAATTTACGTTTTCTCTCTTCTACCCTTTTGTTCTTCTTTATTTTCTTAATTTCAATTATGGTTTTCTACTTAGCCATGCTAGGCTAAGCGTTCTTTAATCAATCCAAGAATTAAGGATTTCACAATTGAATCTGAAGGACCTGCGCTTTATCTTGATCAAAATTGTTTCTCTTCCTTCAACTCGGATTCGAGTTCTGCGATTGCATCTAAGATAAGTGGTTAAATATTAGATTTAATGTTTAGGTTGATTAACCCGATGATCTTAAGTCAAACAGGATGATACTCCGCGATTGCGCGAGTGGATGTGCCGTATTGATCAAACGCTAGGTGATCGTCTAAAGAGAGGTTCCTAAGCAATTGCAGGTATTCCGAATTGCTTAGGGTCAACCACGATTTGGTAATCCTTTGTCCACTGATGGATATCTTGGAATCCTAATTCTTAGATTGATTGCTTTTAATTGATAATTTCCGTTTTTAAATCATTGTTTTTACTTTCTATTTTTAATCGCACAAAACTCTCTTTTTACTTCTTGTTTTTAATTGATCGATTAAGATCCTTGCAAATTTCTTGAGAGACGATTCAGGTTACCCACTTTATTATAAATTTTTATTTTTACAAACTTAATTAATTTGAGTGAGTTCGACGACTCACGTCAATATATCTCAAATCTATTTTTTGCTATGAAATTACTGGTTTTATTTCCTATTTTATTTCAGTGTTCTTTTTTCATAAAAAAAAAAATGCTAGGATGCAATATTTTTTTTATATTGAAAGTAATTAAAAATGAACACTTCAGCCTAACATACGCAATAATTAGATTTTATATCAAATTAAAATTCAAATGGAAAATTTAGCACCCATAACAACAAAATGATTTATTGGCTAATAATTCTCGTATTCTAATATTCACGCTAGCAATTCCAGATTTATAGTTTGCTAGTGACTTGAGCAAATTCGAATATCACGGCATGTTAAAACAATGAGCATGTAAATTAAAGCTAGGTAAAAAGTTAAATATTGCCAACTGAGGAGTGCATAACAGAATGAGAATTCGAATGCAACGAAGAATATGAACGGATCATAGTGTAGTGCGTGAACAAAGAAGCCTTTTAAAGACTGTGACTTGATCACGGAGAGGAGGAGGACTTTTTGCAGACGTCATTCTTTAGAATACCATTCTCCCCCTTTTGGCCTTTTCACCTGCTACCTACTTACAATATCTTTCTTTTCTTAGCCCACCAATCCCATTTTATAATTTCTTACAAGTGAACTTTCGAGTTCTTGTTTCTTCAAAACACCAACTGATGCACATGGGTGACTCGCTTGGATTGAGCTTTTTTATAATTTATTTCTATATAGGAAATTTTAATAATTGCTAGTTATTTTTTTTTTTTGTTATTTTAGATTATGTTTGAGTGGGTGTTGATTGTGCGTTATCTCCTTTGATTGCGCATGATTATAGTTATTTATTTTTTTGTTATTTTATTTTTGTCTATTTAAGGTTTGGAGAACCCTATTGTTATGAGGTTGTTTTTGATTAAATAAAATTAAGAAAAGAGAATAGTATTTTCTCGCAATCCTTGTTTCGTTCTTCTTTTTGTTTAGCCAATAGGTTACTTCTTCGGCATTATTTGGTAATCAGAGCTCTGGTTGTCACATAAATGGCTGAACAGAACAATGGCGGTCGAGGTCGAGGTCGAGGTCGTGGACGACGGGGTCGAGGCGACGACGGTGATAGAGGGCGTGACAACACCCTTTATGGCGACGGCGATCAACCATACATCGACGCGCGAGACACCACAATGGTAGCAATGACTGCTACAATGGCAGAACAAGGTAGACGAATTCAGAAGCTCGAACAACGGTTAGCCCAAACACAGTTGGACGAGTTAAATGAAGGAAAGGAATCTGAAAGATCATCTCATGAGGAAGAAAGGAACGAAAACCCATTCTGGGACTGGAACCATGAGCGACGAGGATGAAGTCAACCTGAAAATCAATCCTTTTTTTGCCAATATTGGGGTGAAGATTGAGATCCCGGAATTCGAGGGCACCACTCGTCCAGGCGAGTTCATCGACTGGTTACACACTGTCGAAAGAGTCGTTGATATCAGAGACTTGACAGAAGACCAGAAGGTCAAACTGGTCGCTATCAAACTGAGGAAGCATGCCTCAATTTGGTGGGAACATATTAAGAAGCAGCGAAACACAGAAGGGAAGTCAAAGATCAAGAGTTGGGATAAGATGAAGAAACTGTTGTAACAAAAATTCTTACCAATTCACTACCGGCAGGAGGCATTTGTTGAATACCATAATCTCAAGCAGAGAGACCTATCAATTGAACAATATACAACAAATTTTGATCGTATGCGGATACGTTGTGATATCGCAGAGGAGGATGAGCAATTGGTCGCTCGTTACCTAGGAGGACTGCGGACTGAGATCTCAGATGTTGTATACCTGCAGCAATATTGGTCATATGAGGACGTATGTCGACTAGCTTTGAAGGTAGAGGAACAATATAAGAGAAGATGAGGTACTTCAAAATTCCAACCCAGATTTTGTGACAAAGGACAGTTATCAAGCTCGACAACAACACTAGTGCAGGGATGGAACCTTCTAACCCGAAACAAGTGAGCAAGGGGGAGCGATCAATGGTGAAGCAAGCAAGACAAAGACTATGGCAAATAGGTGTTTCAAGTGTCAGGGATTAGGACACTTCGCTGTTGATTGTCCAAACCGACAGTATGTTACTCTTGCGGATACTCAAGCCCATAATATAGGCCCCACCTATTATGAGTATGAAGAACATGAGGTGGATGGAGGGTCTGAAAAATGTGAGATTATTTTTGGTGATTCAGGCGAAGCCTTGGTTGTCCGAAGGGTGTTGAATGTTGACATCATTGATAATGAGTCGTGGCTTCGACACAATATATTCCGCACCAAGTGCACCAGCGACGGTAAGGTATGTAATATGATCATTGATGGAGGGAGCTGCGAGAATGTAGTCTCTAATACCATGGTCGAGAAGCTAGGATTGAAAACAGAGGAACACCCATAACCATACAAGCTTGCCTGGCTGAAGAAAGGAAGTGAGGTGAAGGTGAACAAGAGGTGTCTCGTACAGTCTTCTATCGGCAAAAGGTACACTGATGAGGTGTGGTGCGATGTGATTCCGATGGATGTGAGGAGTGCATAACAAAATGAGAATTCGAATGCAACGAAGAATATGAACGGATCATAGTGTAGGGCGTGAACAGATAAGCCTTTTAAAAACTGTGACTTGATGACGAAGAGGAGGAGGACTTTCTGCAAACGTCATTCTTTGGAATACCATTCTCCCCCTTTTGGCCTTTTCACCTGCTAGCTACTTACAATAACTTTCTTTTCTTAGCCCACAAATCCAATTTTATAATTTCTTACAAGTGAACTTTCGAGTTCTTGTTTCTTCAAAACAGCAACTTACTTCAATAATTCTATTTAAAGGCATTGAGTTTGAGGGTCATTTTGTAACTACATTCTTTAGTTGGATAATTTCTAACTGATTTGAGACTTAATAATTTATTGGGCAATATGTTTCCCATGTAGCATGACATATAAATTGTCTCATGCAACTGATATGCCCTCAATTTATTATGTATTAAGAGTCAAATTGAGTAAGTAATTAATCTAAATTCAGTCAAAACACATAAAAATTGTGATTTAATTGTTGATTCACTCTCATGAAATTATTGTGTTTTGTAGAAATTTTTCTGATTGAAAAATATCAAGATTAAAGAGCCAAAGAAAGTTACAAGAATGTTATCAAAAAAAAAAAAAAAAGTTACAAGAAGCAAGGAAGCAAGCAAAAGGGTTCCATTTTTTTATTGTTGGCGCTAATCTCTCTCAGATGATGGCGCTAAAAGTGCCAATTTCAATTGCTCTCTATTTGTTCACACCAAAGGCGCTAGTGCTTCCCACAAAATGGTGCTTTAAACGCCAATTTCCAAGTCAATTCAAGTGTGGCGCTTTTTGCGCCAAATTCTCTCACACAAAATGACACTTTAAGTGCCAAGACCCAAGTCTCTCAGATTTAATTGTTTCGCGCGCCACTGTTGCCATGTCTTCAAGATGATTTGTTTTGAATTTTTAATCACGAAAAATTTGATTGGAGATTTTGGCTTTTTTTTTTACTATTGTGCCCTTAATTACATAAGAAAAATACCACTTTGCCCCCACTTTTAAACTATTTCAAAAATATGACATTTGCCCTAAACATAAAATCAATCTGCTCTATTTGACCGTTGACTGGCCTTCATAATTGAGTATGTGACATTTATACTCGAGTAAATCAAGTGTCATGAGTTTATACTCGGGTATAGGACCAAAATACTAGAGTATTTATTGTTTCACGCAATATACTCGAGTATATGGGTTAATCTAAAAAGGGTTTATAAGAAATTAGGATTCTAATTAGATTAAAGGACTAAATAACTAAGACATTAGGGATCTAACCAATTATTATTTAGATGATGAATCGTTTGATAACAAGAGAGTTGAAATTTTATTGAACTAATTTAATTCATTTAATTCACTTAAGAGGAATCAGAGGTGAAGTGGACCCTAGCTGCATTTTAATTCTCGATTTCAAATTCATCTTTTCGTTATAATTTCTTTAACTACCATCTATAAGTGATTTTTAATCAATTACTAGTTACCTATTTAAGACACCTTTGAATTGTCTAACTTAGATAAAAACAGTGAATTATTGCTTGAATTTAGTTCTCGTGGGAACAATACTCTACTTATCATTTTATTACTTGGAACGATCGGTATACTCGTCGTGTTTGCAACAACAACATATAAAAAAGTGAATAAAATCCACTTTTTTCTCTCTGTCTTCTCTTTAGTGAGTTGCATCTACTTTTTTGTATATTGCATAAGACAAATTGTCTCATCCAATATAAGAAACATATTTTCCTAATTTATTATTCACTTAAATTTTTACCACATTTTATCTGTTAAATGAGAGACGTGCTACATCAAGAGGCTATAACTAGTAGAATTAGAGAGGACAAAAAGGTCTGTAGAAACCATGTGATAACATAGGATTCGAGGCGATAATGTGAGTCAAGTTAATAGTAACCATATATCTTACTTCTATGCAAGGTTTAGTACAAAGGAGACAACATTATTGAACAAAGAACATATTACACAGCAACAGATTGAGTCAATAAAAGTCATAGTATTCAATCTTTGTCTTCTCAAGATTCAAGCTTCAACCATATAAATAATTACCGAATACTAATTCAATATTTACAAACGAGTTTTTATTTGATGAACAAATATTCAACCAATTAAAGTTGAATTTAAAGTGCAATACATTTAAAAATGATTTTTTTCCAAAATTAACAGATAGAATTTTCTGGTCAATTTTGAAATGATTATTAATTAGAAGTATTTTTTTAACATTTAAGCCTAAAAAATTTACAATAATTAATGATTCATATGTTGAAGACATATTTTGATATTTTATACAATTAATAAAGGTATTTTTTATATTTAAGCCTAAAAAATATAATAAAGATTCCCAAATATAGGAAGCTTTTTGAAATCCAAAATTACAGTACTGCTATGTTCTTCGGTCTGTTATTAATGAAAATTAATCATTGCAAAAAAAAAACATATAAGCGTGTGGAAGACAAAAATGAAAAATAGATGTAGATGTAATTAATGTAACATTCAAAGGAGGCCCATTAACCATTCACTTAATAATAATAAATCATCACATCAAAAATAGGGATTCGATCTCAAGATACATGATTAAGATATCCCTGGAGAATACCAACACCCACTTACTTAAGAACTAATGAATGAAATTAAGGAAAATGAATGAAAGAATTGGAAGAATGGAGGAGAATAAGGATTAATTAGTGTTTTGAGCAGCATTACCAATTAAGCAATGTCTTCTTGTGTCTGTGGTGCTCTGGGATGCCAGCGAAGAAAGGGATTCCAGTAACCTCAATCCAATCATGTCCATGAAAGAACTTAGCTGGTGAGAACCAATGAGCAGCTTTAGAATTAAGGTTCCAGATTCCAGCCCAATGTACACGCTTTGATTTGTCAGAACCAGGGCCAGTGTTGTGGTATTCGGCATAAAAGCAAGTGTCCATTCCTGAAGCACCCTCTTCTGTTTGCCATGGCAAATACCCATCAGAATGAATCAAATCATCAATGAAAGTGTCCATTATCACTGTCCTTGAGAAATTCTTCCATGGACGTGCTAGGAATGACTTGTGGTCGAACCTCACTGGGTAGAACACAGGGTCTGACACAATGGAACCACCTTGGATCACTATTCCTGATGGTTGTTGCAGTTCCTTCCTCCCTTGTGCAGTCACTATGCATTGTTGGTTCTTCATTGGCTTTCTTACCACGAATGTGCAGTTTTGGAATACTGATAGAGCATTTCCAAACACGAAGTCTATTGTTCCTGAAATGGTGCAATCCCTGTAGAACTGACGCATGGTGTGTACATAAAGTGTGTCTTGGTACCCATCCATTGAGCAATTGTAGAAGATAGACTTGTCTCCTTGAACCCTCAATGCCACTGCTTGATGCTTTTCTGGACCAGCGCTGTTCTCAAACCCCATATTGATGGCCACAAAGTAATCTCCTTGGATAGCTGCATGCATATGTATACATGCATAAAGCTATTAATTTATGATTATATATACAAAAATCTCATCTCTCTCTCTCTTTTGGAAATATTCCAATTGGTAATAGTTTAGCGACTAGTTTGATTTGGAATGAATCCAGGATTAAGACTTTAAACTCATTCAAAAGATATACTGGAGAGGATCAAACACATGTAAATGGATGGTATCTTTTTACATACAATTGTTTTGATTTATATTTTTTCAAACAAATATCTAATTGAATTTAATTATACATGGATGGTATCTTTTATTTTATTTTTTATCTATTTGTTGTGAGATAGCATAAAAAGGAAAGTGCAATTGATTAAGATTATCCACCCTCTCAAATGTGAAATGTTTTGGAAGGAAAAATACTAAAAGATAAAGAAATTAAGGAGACGTACCAACAGTGGCGGTTCTATAGGTGTTAATGCCATCGATGAAGTTTTTGTTGCCAGTGATTCGTGTCTTTTTGCCACCATCACCGATAAACACAACATGTTCCATTTTCTTGGTAACTTCAACGTACTCATGATAAACACCCTCCTTGATGTAGATCACGAATGGCTGTCGGTTATTTTCGGGGACCTTTTGCAATGACTCGTTGATGCTCTTGAAATCCCCACTTCCATCAAGGGCTACGGTGACATTAGGCTTGTGTTTGAATGAAACGGCATGAAGGAATCTACGATGATCAACCCAAGAGGGAACCTCAGAATCCTGAAGGAGCTGGCGACGACCAAATAATTTGGTGACATTCAAATTGGAGAAAGTATCGGCAAATTCGGTGATGATGGAAAGGGCATTGCTGCTCATGTGCATGCTTGTGGTTAGAAGTTCCTTCATCTTTGAACCAGCTTCGCTAGTAGTGTTCTCGAACCCATCCAAGCAAGTATCTTGGTATGTAATTGCACCACTTAACCAAACCTTTAAATTGGTTAGAATTTTGTCCATTTTAATGAGATCAAATTCGCCTAATCCTTCAAGTGACCTCGTTAACTCCCCAATTGAAAGATCCATGAGTTGCTTGCATGTGTCAAGTGCCAACTTGGTTCTTGGATCCTTCTCAACTTCATGCAAGAGATCTGTTTCCTTGAGTTTATCACCAATTTTGGAAATGGTTACGTTGAAGGCAATTTTAATGAGTTCTTTTGGGTCAGTGGTGTTGCCAGCAGAATATTCAATAAGAGTTTCCTCGCATTCTTCCTTGTATTCAGCGGGATGGCAAAGGGTTTTGACTGCTTTCATATTGGAAGCCACGTGGCTGCTCTTCTTGCTGTCATCGTTCGAACCATTTTGAACTGCCACGGCTACCACCATAGCCACAAGTAACAAGCTAGAGACGCCAATAACGGCGATTCTCCTTCCCTTGTTTCCTTCTCCCCCAGACATTTTCGCTTAATTAATTAATAAGCTCCTACACCTGCACCTGCATGTCGTAAATTAATAATATATTATTTTATAGGATTCGTTTTTTTACCCTAGATAATATATCTACATTTAGCTCAAAACGATATCATTTTGAGACGAAAATTAAGATATTTTTGTAATTATAATTTATTTCAGGATTATAATAGTCTTTTTCGTTATAATTTTTTAATTTTTCAACACTACGTCGTTTTGAAAGTGAATATAGATAACTTATCTACATTCACTGTAGAAACAATAAAACCTATTATATATATACATATAGGCAAAATGATTTCTGCAGCTGCTGTACCTACAGCAAGTAAGGATACACGTCCGAATCCTAGGATATGGCAACGGATCCTGAGTTTTTTTTTTTTTTTTTTAAGAAGTCGTGGGGCCCAATTTTCTGTGTCAGCTTTAGATAACATTATCTACGGCTGCTGCAGAAATGTTAAGCCATATATATATATGCTATGTAACAAATTAAATATTAATAGATAAAAATGTTTCTATTTTTGCTAAAAAGATTTTTTTTTTTTTTTTTGGAAACGGATCCTAATTATCTCTTTTAGGCGAATCAGAACCCCCGGTATCTCCACGGGTTCGACTCTTTGAGCCGCCTATGAGACTAATCCAGAGTTCGGGTGCGAATCCCAGAATTACGGTACTTATCTGGGGAGGGGCACAAGTACCGTAATCCTTGGACTCGCACCCGAACTCTGGATTAGTCTTATAGACAGCTCAAAGAGTCGAACCCGTGTGGATACTGGAAGGTTCTGATTCGACTCAAAGAGTTAATACACTCACATGAAACGGACTTTCATGTCAGTGTTGCAGAGAAATTCTTTAAAAAAAAACATTAAACTCATAATTAATAACCATAACATTTTTTTTTTGTTTTAATGACTTGCACTTATAAGTTTGGTGCATGCACTTACTATGCAAAATGAAGAAGGTGCCTCACGCAATGAAGTGAATGAAAATGGGCCTCCCACGGCGGTCGCAATCAACTAATCCTCCGGAGATTGCTTAGAGCTGCGACTTAGCGTTCAATGAACTGAGAGCAACGAAATTAGCGATGACCCCCAGCCATTATCAGTTTAATTAAGGAGCTCCTGCACGTTGTAAATTCATCATTATTTGAAATTAGTTAACAACAAATTAAACTAACTAAATGAAAATAATAATAGTAATAATAATAATAAGATCAGAAGGTGTCGTACTTTGCATTCAGGAGGTGCCGCACGCAGAAAAGCGAAGGGAAAATGGGCTCCAAGAAAGTCCTCCTCCGGAGACTGCGTTGCGTACCTGCGATTTGTCGTTGAAAGTTGATGGTTATTTATATGCAGAGAGCAATGCTATTTAAGACCAATCAAAATTTGGTTCAGTCAAATGTGGTCGGGTTTTAGCAAAAGAGGCCAGGTAGTTAGTTACGTTTTCTAAAAAAGATGAGACGCGGAAGCCACACAGTATATATATATGGCCATCCTTTCGGTTAGTTTCTAATTCATCATGTTCATTGAAATATGCAACTTTACAATTTTTTATTAAATTTAAACTCGTCGAATGAGTTAAGAAAGAGAAATATATTACTTTCTTTTCTAAAAACTCAATCGGTTAAGTATAGCCACTCAGAGTCAGAGGTCAGATAAACTAGCTTTCCTAATTAAACATGAAACGCATATGACCAACGGTATATAGCGAATCATTTTTGTTTGTTTTTAGAATATTTTATACTGATTTATGGCGTATATAAATATTAACTTTTTTTTTTAATTTAAGCTTATGACAAATGTGATATGAGATATATCTCAAATACTTACCACTAACTTATTCATGAACTGGTGCGCTAAGACTCTTAAACCAACATAAATGCACTGGAGCAAATCGATACAATTAACCTATAGAGTAAATATTATTTTTAGTCCTCGGGAAATTTCACAGAGCCTGTTTTAGTCCGTAACAAATAAAAAGGCCCATCGTGGTTCTTAAGAAATTCAAAGTGAACTCATTTAGTTGAAATCGAGGTCCTTCACAAATTCAAAAAAGACTCATATTAGTCCTCAAAAAGACTAAAATGGGTCCATTTTGAATTTTTTAGAGACCACGATGGATTTTTTTATTTGCTAGGGACTAAAACGGGTTTCGTGAAATTTGCTGAGGACCAAAAAAATATTTACTCTAACATATATATAGCTAGGGGTATTTTTTTTTTTATTATTTTGTGTGTGTCTCCATGATATTAATCTTCTTCGAGTGGTGTAGACTCTAGAGTGAGAAAGTTTTTATCACTTGTCACAAAGTGCTTTATACAGGAATCAAACAGTAACTTTTCAGCTACAATAATCCGCTTCTTAGACATAATTCATGACAAATTAATGATGATGGAAACTGAGAGAAAAAAAATATTAAAATAAAAAGTGACAAAATTAATATCATTGATTTATTCATGAATGGTTAGGATATCTCCTTTCACATGACATGGTGATGGTAATTAACCCTCATTATTTATTTAAAATTTAATTCAATTATAGTCTTAAATCTTAATTCTTATATTTTTAAAAATATCAATAAAAGTTTGAAATTTATTAATATTTTCTTAAAAATAATTGGATTCTTATAATGCTTCATGATGGGATGAGTTTAAATAATTTGTTAATTTTTTCTCAACCTTTTTAAAAATCGGAGACCCAATCAATTGCTTAATTAAACAATAATCTATTTTGATTTTTAATCGAACAGGTGAATCACTAATTAGTCCATGTTTAAATAAATAAAAAAATTAGAGACTGAATATTTAGTCCATGTTTTTATTTGTGACCAAAAATTCGTTTATTTTCGGTCACTAAATAATAAAAAAGTATTGTAATTTTCAAATCAAATAATATAGTAACTAAAATAATTATAAATCGTTTTAGAGATGAAAATATATTTTAGTTAGAAATTGTTTTTTCTTTTCTTTTATTCTGGTCACTGAAATAATAATTAAATAAAGACAAAAATGAAAAATAGATGTAGATTCAATAATGTAAGATTCAAGAGAGGCCCATTAACCATTCACTTAATAATAAAAAGAAAACATAATTAGCCCAACCCCAATGGGTGACAATTTCCAAAATAATTGTCAGCAATGTTGGCGCTTCACCTCAATAATATAATAACATTTTATCAAATATAAATATAAAAAAAAAAAATTGTGCACGATGAGCCCACGTTCTCTGTTTCTTTGTATCTATCCAATAAGGGATCTCCACTTTTAAAATCATTTTTATGAAGGGATAAGAAATTAATAACAAACATTGTTTCGTGAATATTATAAGGGAAATCTACTTCTCCAAGCATGGAGAAGAAAATTTATGTAGCAATCAATTATAATTATATATTACGAATAATATATAATTTTAATTTTAAAAAAAATTCTCCTTTGACACATATTATAACAATGAGATAGGATCCTTTGACATCTCATCTGAGAGTCGTTAGATAAAAAAAGATCAACGTCTCTGATTTGCAAGCATGTGATATCATTGATCTTTTTTGATCTAACAGCTCTCTCAGATGAGGTGTCAAAATTGAAATTTGACACTAATATCAAAAGATCCTATCTTTATTACAATAATAAGGGAATAATTGAAAAAAAATGATCATCCTATTTAATTATAATTATTTATTAATAATAAATTTAAAAAAAAAATCAAAATTTTTAATTAAATGGTGGGATGAGAATCTAAATCCAACACAACACTCATAGTTTTATGAACGGTACCTTTAATATCCTTTGATCCCTGAGTTTGGTCAGAGAAGGTAAACAGGGAAAGTGAAAGAGAGAGAGAGATGGAGAGCATAGAGCACAGAACAGTGGAAGTGAATGGTATTAAGATGCATGTTGCAGAGAAAGGAGAAGGCCCAGTGGTGTTGTTCTTGCATGGCTTCCCTGAACTCTGGTACTCCTGGCGACACCAGATTCTGGCTCTCAGCTCCCTCGGTTACCGTGCCGTGGCCCCTGATCTCCGAGGCTATGGTGACACAGAAGCCCCAGCTTCAATAACCAGCTACACATGCTTTCACCTTGTGGGTGACATCATTGCACTCATTGACACTCTGGGTGTGGACAAAGTGTTCCTTGTAGCACATGATTGGGGTGCCATCATTGGTTGGTATCTATGCTTGTTCCGACCAGACAGAATCAAGGCCTATGTTTGCCTTAGTGTCCCTTTTCGACCATTCCTAGGAAGAAACCCTCAAGTCAAGACCGTAGATGGTTTTCGTGCCTTATATGGAGATGACTTCTACATATGCAGATTTCAGGTAATACTGTTTTTCTTTACCTTAAATACCAGATCTGACATCATATCTATATATATATATATAAACGTTTTTTTTTTTTTTAATTTCAATTTATGGGGATTTGCTAGTCTTTTTCTAAGTAATGAATCCTTTTTTTCTTTTATGGGTTATGGTTTTAGTGAAACTTCTTAAATTGTGAGTGACTTATGATTAATATTGGATTGTGAATCAAAATATTTTGTATTGGTGATTATGAATTATGATTGGAGATCTGATTTGTGTTAAAAAAACGTTGGCAGGAACCAGGCACGATGGAAGCTGAGTTTGGTCGAGTTGACTTTGCAAATTTGTTCAAGAACATACTTACAACACGCCAAACTGGTCCCCCAATTTTTCCAAAAGGAGAGTATGGAACTGGATTTAATCCGGATACACCAGAGACATTGCCCTCTTGGCTCACGGAAGAAGATCTTGTTTATTATGTTACTAAATTTGAGAAGACAGGACTCACTGGAGGGTTGAACTACTATAGAAATCTGAACTTGTGAGTTTCTATTCCTTCTTTTTTTTTAATGTGAGCTAAAACAATGTATTAAAAGTCGGTCTTCTTTAATTTTGAAATAAATTCAGGGGAAATTATATTGAAGCAGAATCTGGTACATTATCTAATATTCTTAATAGAGATATAAAAACCATTCATGAAGTGGGGGAGTTGATATTTGATATGAGCTTCTATCACCGATAATAGGAACACTTAGACTTGCGGCTAATCATTGTCAATTGTTTTTCTAGCTGACCAATTAGTGGCTAATGGGAACTTCAATGCTTTGCAGAAATTGGGAGCTCACAGCACCATGGACTGGAGTTGGAATCGTGGATGTACCAGTAAAATTCATTACAGGTGGTGTGGACTTGGTATACACTTCCCCAGGGATGAAAGATTATATACACAATGGTGGTTTCAAGAAAGATGTGCCAACTTTGGAGGAAGTGGTTGTGCAGGAAGGGGTAGCACATTTCAACAATCAAGAAGCAGCAGAGGATGTGAGCAAACACATTTATGAGTTTATTAAGAAGTACTGATCTGAATCATTTGATCCACAACTTAATTGTGGAGGAGCTCCCTTTGAAATTTAGTTGAATAAAATTTGACACGGACGGTATTTTATAGTTACGTTTGCAAGTTCTTTTGTTTTAAGCTTCATTTGAACTCGTTTGTGCCATGTTCTCATTTGGATGCTGAGTGTAATTTGTAACCCTTGGATTGTCAACTTGAAATTGGAAGCCGATGCTTGTGGCATGGATTATCTATTCAAAATAACCACTCCGTGTACTGGGTCATGGGGTCAGTGTTCTTCAAGCATACCCCAATGAAGGAAGCAAATGACTAATTAAAATCTTGAACAAAATTTGCCAATCTAATATTGTTTCAAACACATTCAAGTACAAAATTGAAGATCTGGACTCCGAACACGTTACATCATCCATTCCCGTGAGGATAATTGTATGTCAAAAGCTCAAGCTGGGCATTTAACATATTGAAGTCAATTTCTACACAGTAACTACTAAAAATTGGGTTCATATTTTTCTTCCAAGATGAACCAAAAATTATAGTTATATACTAAAGAAAGATTATAATTACAACTTCAATCAAAATCAAATTAACAATTATAAAATAACATTAAATAGGAACCATTAATTTGATTTTAATCCAATAACCATAAAAATAATTGTAAACGATAAGAGATTGTAAATATAAAATTTCGTATATACTAAATATTAAAAAAATTCATTATTGTAAATATACACCTTATTACTTCGTTTATAATTTTACAAATATGCAACTTTTATTACTCAATTTCTAATTTTATCACTCATAATACATTTTTAAACCAAACAACACAGTTCTATTTATCGAAATAAATCCCTAGAAAATATATGGCAACATTTAGGGTGATTTAAAATAAGATCATAAAATATTAAATTAACTCCAACCTAGCCGAGTATATCTACATGCATCAGAAGGAAAATTAATGGCTCAGGCTTGGAATAATTTTTTTCATTAACTAAAATAGAGTAACCTCATAAATCAAAAAAAAAAAAAATAACCTTCGGAAGGGGCCGAAAGTTACATGTTTAAGGCACGCAGTTAGTAGGTAAGGTATTATATAAAATGGAGGTTAATGTCTATATTCATAACGGAGAAACATGCATCACATAATTAACGATTAGGCATTCTCTAGCATCAAAACTGAGATCAAAGTGAGTTTCACAAAACACTTGAAGAATAAGAATCCAAGAACAAAACTCCATACTAATTATCGTTATCAGAACAGAAATAATACGAAAACTGCTGCCTTCAGTGTCTATGATATGGGAAAAATCTGAATTTTAGAAATAAAATACCAGCAAATAAATAGGGCACTATTATCACATCAAACCCTAAATCCTCGACTGTTTCTTCTTCCTCTAGCCATCTCGTACTTCCTTCCCTTAGATCGCACATAAGGCTTGGTATGGCTGTGTGGCACACCAGGAGCAGGACCAAAGTGCTTCACAGCTTCACGAGCATTCTTTGGGCCTCTAAGAAGGACCTGCCTCCAAGAAAATTATAAATAATCCACGTCCAAAAAACCTATAAATCTATCAAAGTACATACCAGAATATTTACACAAACAGCTAAAGAAACAGGAGAAATGCAGAGAATTAAAATATTCGGCAACCAGCTAGAATTCAGAAGCATATCCTTCATCAAATACAATCAATTTTAAGCAAAGATTCTATCATTCCAGTAAATGATTAGTTTAAGTAAATGACTCAATAAGTATGGTGGTGATTCATTGCTGGATATCAGAGAGGAAACAAATTCCATAATCTGAAAACTTCAACCAAAACCATGTTCAGTAACCAGGACCAGAACTATTCAATCATTAGACTGAAAGTGCAGCAATTAGTAGAATTAACCACTCAGAAAATGACAAAGGCCCATAATGGCATCCACACATACCGTGTTCTGTCCCAGAGGGGCCCTAAGAGCCAACTGATCAAAGGTCAAGCATTCACCACCTGCCTTCTCTATTCTTGCTCGAGCTGTCTCTGTAAACCTGAGAGCTGTAACTTTTAGGGGTGGAACTTCATGAACACGTATATCATCAGTTATAGCCCCCACCACCACGGAAATCTTATCTTCCTACACAGGTAATTTCAAAATTAAATCAATGGAAACTGTGATAAATCAAACTACAAAAACTACAACAACAAAATACAGAAGAAAACAAACCTTCCCCTTGGTATACTTAATCAACCTTGACAAAGATAGTGGAGGCTTGTTAACCTTGCTCATGAACAAGCGCTTAAGTATTACAGCATTGAATTTGCTGCCAGTTCTCCGAACAAGGAAGCGATAAAGCTGACAATGTAACAACTAATCAGAATAATTCCATACATTCCAATAACTTTTAAAGCAGAAAAACGGTAAAAAAAATAAATGTTTGAGAACAAATGCTCCTGAAACTAACAGAAGGCATCTCCAAAAACATGACGAGACTTAAACATTGAAAATGAGACATAACAATGAAATTGAGAAAAAGTTCCCTCAGTATAATAAACTAAAAGTATTAATCATCTGTTATCAGCATTAGCATGGTAAAGAAAGAACATCATTGAGAACCTTTTTCTCCTTTACAAGCCCAAAAATTGCTCTTAATAGATTCATAACACATGAAGGAACTTTGGGGTTAAGATAACAAAGTTAAAATTCAGTAAACGGCCATACTTTCACAGTATTTAATATTAGATGTATTAATCTTACATGTTGCAGCGGATCTGCACTAACATAACAAAAAAAAGGCACACAACAACGAATGAATTTCAGTTCCACAGTAAAAATTTGTCCAATCAAACTTTCTTAATTGAATTAAATGATATTCCATATCCAATAAATGAAAATCAAAATAAAAAGTATATGATGTCCATACTCTGAAAACATAAAAATAAAAAATAAAAAAAATGAGAGAAAGGTGTTTTCAGCGCTGGCTCAGACAAATGTGGAAAAATCTATTCTCAGACCTTGTTATTTTGAAGGTCTCATAATGAGCTGGGATCACATTTATCATCATCGACCACCCCTCCTTCCAAAAATAATAATAATAAAATATTCGAATTATAAGGTTCAGATAGTAATGTGAAGCAGACCTTGACCAAGAGCTTGAGATAGATATCATTGGACTTGGGTGCTGTTCTTTTCGTCTTCTTGCTCTTACCTCCGGCTTTAAGATCGATCCCCTGTGTGCGCAATTCAAATGGAAAAAAAATTGTCGGAGACCGAAAAATCCTCCCAGAGAAACAGAGTAATAAGAGAGAGAAAGGAAAATAAAAAAACCATTGCAGCTTCGGATCTAGAACGACCGAGCTTGGCACGCTGCGACTGCGATTTCAGGTAGCACTGGCTGGCACGAGAAGGAAACTAGGGTTTATGAGTTGCTTTGCTTTCATTAGTTGGTGGCCGCCAGTGTGGGCTCTGGAGATGGGCCGTGTTTGGTTAGGAAGCAAAGGAAACCTAAGCCTGGCACTTGCAGATAAGGCCCAGTTTTTAATGTTTGGGCTTTATAATCTCTGTCCCTGAAATTTCAGGCAACAACTTGTGATTAGAAAAAAATTCTACATGCTTTTAGAATAGTACATTTGATTAAAATATAACACGTGACACAGAATTTAAATAATAAATTTTAAAAAATCAAAATAATTTTATATTATTTCAAATTTAAAATTATTTTATTAATCACTATCTCTTTTTTCCCTTCTTAAATATAGATAAGATTTTCTCCATGCAGCATGAATCTTGTAATTTATGTTAATTCCAAATTTTAAGTTGGAACAAAATAGTAGGGATGGCAAAGCAGACAACTTGCGTCAACCTATCTTCAACCAGGGGAGGAGACAGGGGGAGGCTAGGGTGCGCTGCCGCCCCCCCCCCCCCCCCCCCCCCCCCAAAAAAAATTAAAAAAAATAATTTAATGTAGTTGAAGGTCAAACATAGTATTGTTGTTACTGTTAAATGTGCTTCTTTAGAAAGTTCTGGTTTGAGATCCAAGTTGAAATCTAAATCTACCTCTAGTTCACCTAATGTGTATGTGTTATGTGTAACATTTTCTGTATTTTCTTTTTTATTTTTATATGCTATGTTTGGTTAATGAAAGTTTTGACTGTTTTGTCACTCTTTTGCTCACTTTTCATTTGCATTTTTTTGTGTGTAGTGGTTTCATAGAGAAAATGAGTTTGCTCTAACTTAAAAGCAATGTTATTAAAACCGGCTCGGTCATTGTCCCAGTCGAGGTACCGGGTCACTGGTTCAACCGCATGACCCGGTAATTATATGTAATTTTATAATTTATATTAAAAAATTATAAACATACTCAAATATCTACAAAAAAGGATACAAATTTCAAATATTTTAATACAAATATAATAAATCACATATTACTATCAAATAAAAATATAATGATCGTGATACGGGGCTTTAAGTTCAGAAAACGACATCTCTAACTATAAACTAATTCAAAATTTTATGCATAATACATAATTGAGATAATATTAGTGTTGTGGATACATAACTTATGTAAGTCAATAAGAAAAAAAAATTCAAATATGGTTATTATGTTTTTTTTTTTAAAACAAAAATTTGGAATTTTTTTTTTTGGACCGGGCCGGGTCACCGGTTTTTATGAAAACTGGCTGGGTTGGACCGAGTCGCACCGGTTCTGATGTATCGTCGGTCCGTTGCTTCAACCAAACCGGTTATATGATCGGTTTACTAGTTCTCGGGTCGACCCGGCCGGGTCGGTCCGATTTTAATAACTATGCTTAAAAGATTAATTTTTTTTTTTAAACAACTATATTGCAGTCTTTCATTCTATTTTTTTAAAAAAATGTAGTTAAAAGCATTGTTTTAGTTAAGACACTCTTTTTTTTAATTATTTCTTTAAACTATTTTTTATGTCCGTTGGACCCGACCAATAATACATTTTTTTAGTCTTTTAAATGTTGTTAAATGTAAATATTTTGGTAAGAAATTATCTAAATGTGTTCCTACGAGGTCAATAGATACAAAAAATATTGATATTACGTAAGACAAAAAATTAATTTTCGCTCCCCTCCCCTTCAATCCTGACTCCGCCACTGCCTACATCCAAGTTGGCCCACGAGGGTTAAATGCCCTCTAGCACTTTTATTCAGTAACAAAAAGGTAAAACAGTGTTCAAATATCCTAAAACATGTAACTCTAAGCATACAGCATATATGAATGCAACTTATGATCCATATCAATGTCCAAATTTTGCTTTGGAATAAAATGATGTACGATGAGAAATGGTAGAAATGGGTGCAAATGAGAGTAAGATAAATTTTAAGTCTCAGCAAATTGACTTACAAGGAGAAATGGTGGAGATGGTTGCAAACGATGACTATGGGTCAGGTCGGGTCAGATTTTTGTGCCGACTCGATCCAACTTGGTTTTTATAGGTAAGGTATTTTGATCCGACCCGCTTTAATTTGATCCAAGTCAGGTCTGACTTGGTTTGAATTTTTTTGAACTAGTTCAGAACTGGGTCGGATCTGACCTGACTTGGTTTCTGAAGTTCTTCTGACTTGGCTTCTAAAGTGGGACAAATCTGACCTGACCCGTTTTTGACTTGGTTTCGTCACAAAATTTCGTCGAAATTTCTACGTTGCAAACGACGAAAATTTTATCACAAAATTATTTTTTCGTCGGAATACTTTTTATCGAAAAGCGACGAAATTTTTTCTCTAATGAGAATTTTTACAAAAATAAATTTTCTATCGAAATTTAGTTTCCGTCAAAAGTTTTGACGAAAATGATTTCCTTCATCAAATGTTTTAAACGAAAAAGAATTCCGTCATAACAGAATGTTTTTCGTTCAAAATTTCGATGGGAATATGTTCTGACGAAAATTATTTTGAGCGAAATGTTTCATTCGAAACTTTCGACGAAATTTAGATTCTCTAAAGAATTTTGACAGAAAATTTTTTCCGTCAAAATTTTTGAGAGAAATTTAGTCCGTTGAAAGTTTTAATGGAAATATTTTTTATCAAAAAACTTGACGAAAATATTTAGTCGAAAATTTTCGATGGAAATGTGTTTCGCTAAAAATTTCAAAAAAAAAAAAAATTGTTAAAAAGTTTAACGAAAATGTTTCTGTCGAAAAATTTCGCCGAAATTTGAATTCTATAAAAAAATTTGATAAAAATTTTTTCCGTCAAAAAATTTCAATAGAAAAGTGTTTCGTCGAAATTTTTGATGAATATTTTTTTTGTGGAATATTTTGACGCAATTTAGATTCCGTAAAAAAATTTGACAAAAAATTTTTCCGTCAATTTTTTTTACAGAAATATTTTTAGGTACAAATTTTGATAAAAATATTTTTCGTCAAAAAATTTTCGAAAAATTTTGATGGAAATATTTTGCGTAAAAAATTTTGACGTAATTGTTTTACTTTAAAAATTTTCTTTTAATGTAAGGGAGAGGTTACTTACTACCTATTTTTTTTACTACTTGTTACTACTAAATCTTAACCGTTGATTTCCGTCAATCTAACGGTTATAATTTATGCGATCATACTTATTAATTAATTATTAATTTGTAATAAATTATAGTCGTTAGATTGACGGAAATCAACGGTTAAGATTTGATAGTAACAAGTAATATGAAAAATAGTTAATAAGTATAACCTTTCCCATAATGTAATTGTGATTTTTTTTCTTTTTTTTCACATAATAAGTATGGGTCAAGTTTTGGGTCAATGGATCATTATTAAAACAAGTCAGGTCTAAAAATGACCCAAATAAAGTGAGTTAGTATTTAAACCCAGTTCAAAAAAAAAAGTATTTATGGTTCAGGTTTAGATCAAAGACAAAACAAGTGAACCAGTTTTTTTGCACACCGTAAGATAAAATGGTGGAGATGTCTCCACAAAGGGCCAAAAATCAATCAAAGATTGGACAATGTGTACCCTTTATTACCTAAACCAGTGACCCTCAACGTTATTTAAGTTTGTTCTGAACTTGGCACCTGTGATGCACGGGTGCACGGGACACGAGACGCTGATACGTTAATTTTAAAAAATGTCATACGTTCTGACACGTTTTGATATTAAATAAAATTTTTAATATATATAATATAATTTATATTTAATATATATAAAAATCTATAATAAGTCATGTAACCAATCAAATATTTAAATTTCATAACATAAATATAAATATAAATAATTTTTCGTACTTTGTTAATTTTTCATGTCAAATTTCATAACAGAAAAAAATTAATTTATAAATTATTTCTTTTATATTTAGTTACCAAAATAAAATTAAGATTTTTTTTAAAAAAAAAAAAAACGTGTCCAAACATTGACCGCGTGTCGAAAAAAGTTGACTGCGAGTCAGAAAAACGTGTCGAAACGTATCGGAGAGTTGACCGCGTGTCCGTATCGGACAAGCAAATTTTCCAACTTGTCCGTGCTTTCCAGCTTGGCACCATTAAAATGAGATAAATGCTCCATCTCCATATGCGATCCCCCAGTCCCACTCCCATGCTGTCTCGGGATAAAAAAACAGTTAGGCTCAGCATGCTTCACACCAGAAAATCTCATTCGCTTGTAAAATACCTTCGCCATTGAAGAGTCACAAGTCAACTCTGCTCACTATTCTCTATTGTTCTTATTGCTGGCTTTCAACATCACATAAAGCAATCACGCCCTTCACCTTCCCTGATTCTCAGCCTCTGCCTCAGATTTATACAGTGACCCATAATTCAGCTCTAATTCACACTATTGCCTCATTGATTCCCTGTTAAATCAACATATCATACCCTTGAGGGAAATATATCTCACCCCCTTAACACTTTAAGGGAACAAATTCCAAAAGCATACTGTACACCCTTCATTGCTTAGACTATTCAGCCTAAGGAGGAGGACATTATTCAAGTCCAAATTAGAGTGGACGCATATGAGTATCAGCTCACTCCCAAGTATCATTCCAATGGTTTCCAAGCAATCTGATTCCAGCTGAACCTTCTAAAAGCCTGCATTTCAAATTTCCTCAAGGCCTCGTTGGATAGTTTTCAATTCCAAGTCTGCCACAATATTAGACGCATATCCCTGGCAGATAGAAAAATTCCATGAATCATATATCATCTTCATCAAGAATAAGACCTCCCCTCCCATCCTAACCTGCAGGGGTTCGCGAAGGAACTTCCGTTAATGTTGAGTTTGATCCAATCGCAAGGGCATAGGAGTGTTAAAGGTAAGGAAGCATGAAGGCTCTTATACCTAGTCATATACGTAGAGGCTATGTATGACAATGGTTGTTTCATCCATCTCCTTGGTAGTGAAAGTTGTACAGTTTAACGGGAATGCAGTTGTTATGCTGTATTTTCTTCTAAAAGCTAAGACCACACCGAATCTGTTTTATAATCAACTTAATACCTTTTTTTGAAACAAAAGTCTTTTTCAAGTGAAGAATCTTATGAACACTATATAAGATAAAGAAGGTAAAGTACGGAGAAAGCAAGAGTACAAGACTTCATTTGGTTATTATAACAAGAGACTCAAGATTCACCGACAAATTAGCACATATAATTATGTTCACAACTTCCCCTACAAGGGAACACTCATCTGGAATTTCTTTTCCTATTTTCTTCAGCACTAGAAGGTCGTTCCTCCCCCATTCTGCCTTCCAGCTTCCTTGCAGTTCGCTTTATAGCTGCTAGTTTCTGGCGTTGGCTATGGCTTTTCCTTTTGCTGCATGTTATCATATAGATGTAAATAGAAGATAGGTACCATTCCAACAATAAAGATAAAAAATACATTTCTCAATGATTGTAGACTACAAACAAAATATTTGACAAATTCCAAGACTCTTTTAAGGTGCAGCTGTATTTTTTTAATTTGGTACCGTCTCAAAAGGGGCATCACGGCTACACACAGTTTGAAAAGATGTGCAAAGTAAAAGAAAAAACGGGATTAAAACAATACTTAGAGAAGAAAAAGAAAAACATGAAGAACAATTCCAAATAAACCACAATTTCCAACAAGTTTGTCCTTTTTACTTGCCTAAGATTGACCTGATAAGGGCATACAATGCACAGCTACTCAGTAATAAGAAGGAAAAAGGATTGCATTCTGACCTTATGAACACCAAGCCTGCTGTTAGAACCATCCCTCCTATAGCCCAAGAAACTCTTTCATCGAATGGCATTTCCCTCCACCATTGTTGGAAATCATCAAACATCCTCAAGTTCTTACTTTTCTTGGTCAACTCAAACTTTGAAGCCTTCCATGAATCAGTAACTGAATCTAGACTTGCTTTATCACCATAGCAAGATGTTTCTTCTGAGGAAATTTGTACGACATCAGATGGTTTCACTCGAAAACCTGCAGCGAGACAAAGATCTGTACCATTGGAGACCCACTCAGCAGCCCTACCACATACAAAGTCATTTACTCCACAAGGTGCTAGAATCTGGGGTTACAAGTCAACCAAAAAATGAATATAAGGAGACAGGTTAAAAATTCCATGCAGGTGATCTAAACACTTGAACAACATTCTGCTAAGAATTATTAACAACAAACCAATCCTGTCCTGTGATGCACAACCACATCTCAAATCGATGCTCAAAAAAATGCTAACTTAAATACAAATTAATGGAAACCCCAGATAAACTTTTGTTCTTTTACTAAAACATAAAGGGCTCCAAACTTATTACCATGATCTTAAATTAAAATTTCCAAAGGACATAGTCACCCATATACCTGTGTTTTCACATCCATAGAGAAGTAAGCATTCGAGCATGCCTCATAAACTCTCTCGCATAAAGAAGCACAAATAAGAGGAGGTCCAGGCTGAGTACCAACGTGTGGGTCACATAAGGCACATTCCAAAAGTTCCCATAAGTGCAAGCACTCTTGACTAGCTTCCCCAGTGGAAGCAAGTTTCCTTACAGACAGCAGTGCAGGATGTGTATGGGTTATGTCGCAGCAAGTATTTTTGCGAAAAACCCGGCAAAGGGTCAAATCTTTAGGACCCTTTTTGGGAGGGTTACCCTCTGATTTGAAAGGAGGAAAACGACCACCTTGCGAAACACACACTCCACTGGGTTTACCTGCATTCAGAAAAGAGGAAGAGAATTGAAAATTGTATGCAGACATAAATACTATTCTGCTATGAAGTCATTTAACAAAGGAGCAGTAACAAGCAAGAAAAAATGTGATTTAAAGATTGACCAACCAAAACAATTTGCTAGATATCTCATTTGAGTAGGTACTTTGTTCAATCATATAACCAGCAGATTGTTACACATTTGATCTCTAACATCACCAGCTGCATTAAAACCCAAAATTTTCTAAAGAGACACTCACTACTCAGTTGTATGTACAGTACTAAACACGTAAATAATTGTAAACAAAGAACATAGAACATGGAATAAAAATTGAATTAGAAGGAAAATTGTGGTAACATAAAAGTAACACCTATATATCTTCTGCCAATAATGATCCACATTATGCTATATAAAACGAAGTTGTTCGAGGCCATCCAACTATAAACAGATAGCAATCATGATTTCTTCTAATAATAATTTTCCAACAGAGTCATGATTACTTAATGATATGCATGCTTTAATGAGAAGCATGCCCATTTTAGCTTGAGTTGAAACAAGAAGAATGTGAAAACAAGGATGGAACAATGATCCCAACAAACTTTGCTGAATGGCAAAGACATCAGCAAACTACTAAACTGTACTTTCCATCTGTGTCCAAGAGAAAGAAGCATGAAACAGAGAGACAAAGTAGGTAAGTACATATATATATATAGTATAAATAGTATAATCCAAGGAAAATCGGTTAATCCAAACAAAATTCAGGATTCTTCTGGTTAGCTGGAGCAAGCTTATCTGATATAAAAATTTGGAGTCTCCACAAACATTTTTGTTTTATCCAAACCTGCCCCTATCAATTGGCTTCAGTATTTCCAAAATGAAAGAAAAGATTAATTTCTTTTTATATTTTTCATTTTTTTTCTCTGTGTATCCCTGCTTAAGATTAACACCATATCTTATCATAATCAAACAATGAATAGAAGTGCAATCATTGATAGCGGATAAAATTTTGCAAATCTATAGAAGATTTAAAAAAAAAATTAAAAAAAAAGGGTTGAAAGAGAGAAGCTAACCGGAAGAGTGAGGAAGGAAGAAATGGAAGAAGAGGAGCAAAAGCAAGAACCCATATTTCATGTTGTTGGGTCCGTGCTGGAACTGTCTCCATACCCGCGAAACCACCATACTATGACCTCGATTTCATAAAGTCTCCCAACACGGCAACACCAAAGACGGGGGCAATCGAATCCAACGACGGATTAAGATACTTTATTCGCGTTTAGTATAGTTTATGTTCCAATCCAGGATTAAGAAAATTTTCAGAAAGTTATTTGGGCCACCAAACATCACAAATACGAGCGAGCCCACAGCCCAGCCTGAAGTCGAAACACGTAAATTGGGTATTGGTGGACCAAGTGAATCTATCATGTATCAGTCTGTGTTTTTTCATTCATTTATGCTGCTGTTGATTCAACTAGTTTAGATCATAGTTTGTTTGTACATTTCAAATTTGGAAAATTGAGTTTCGTTTACAAACAATATGTATGGCACGATCATATTAGTAAGAGCTATTTTGAAATTTATTTTTTAACTATAGCAGTCAAACGTGTTGGTCAACTTGACGAGACTGGTGCCGTCGTAGTGCGACCAAAAGCCATGTCATCATCTCATACAATCTCGTCAAGTTGGATGACATGTCAAAACTGTACGTGGCACGTAGATCCAGTCAAAAATTGTGACGCGTCCAACTTGTTATGGATCACACCAAATTTTGTGACGCGTTGTATTTTTTCAAACCCGTCACCAAGAATGACGGATCCTTTGCACCCCGTTGTTATGCTTAGTATTTAATACTTATTTCATTATTGTTTAAAATTATTTTTTACTATTTTTATTACTGTTTAATAGTCACTAACCAGTTGTGCTTAATATTTAATTAAATCAATAAGTATAATTACTGTTTAATAATTTCACAAACAATTAATCTATTTAACTAAATAGGTTTTTTTCTTAAGGTTTCATAACTTATAATTACTAAATTAATTAAAACAAAAATGATAAAACAATTAAAATTAGTGGATACCCTAAACCCAAAAAACCCTAAATAAAAAATGAATGGATCTAAGTCTTCAATAATTCTAAAGCCTAATTGAAGTTATAAAATAATTAAAACAGTAATTAAAAAAATTATATTACTAAATATTAGAACAGTAAATAAATTTATAAAATAATTAAAACAGACATTTATAAAATATTAGAGTTTCAATAATTAAAACACTAATTACAAATGCATTATTTTACTAAATAAATTTTATTATTACGGTTTAAGTAACATAAACACTAAGATAATTAAAATAATCAAAATACTATTTTTATACTGTATAAAAATAGTATACTATTTTTAATTAGTGTTTTTATAATGTATACTATTACAGTTACTATTTTTATAATGTATTTATGAAATAGTAATCAAAAATAGTATTGTTAGTGACTATTAAACAGTAATTATACTTATTGATTTAATTAAATATTAAGCATAATTGGCTAGTGACTATTAAACAGTAATGAAATAAGTATTAAATGTTAAGCATAACCTACATGAGACGAGGTGCAAAGGATTTGTGTAACACCCCGCATATATCCGGTAATGTTATCATATCAATGTATTAAACTGCGCTTAATTAAAATTGCGGAATATCTTTTTCTTTTCAATTATGACGTCATTATCATTACCAACTTGCTTAATTAATCAATTAAATAAAATCATGCCTGTATGTAAATTGCAAAAGGCATCTAACTCAAATACCTCATTAATTAAAATAACAAAATATGTCTCTAGTCACGGAGCTACAACACGTAGACCGGACAACTAGCAGTTTATACAACTCAACTCAAAAGTACTAACAACATGGTGGCATGGACAACTCTCATGCTCACCCCAAATAAGGCAACAAAGCCCAACATCAGTCTCAACAACAGCAACATAAGCATATATAAGTGCAGAAAATATAACAGCATCCAAATCCAGCATTCATACAGGTCAGCATAACTAACAGCAATATTATCAACTAAGCTCTGGGCTCCTGCCGCCAGAGGCATCAGTTCCCATACTACATGAACCTGAAATAAGCATTCCCCAAACGTGGGGTGAGATCTCTAAACAAGAAATCTCAGTAAGACAAGGGGTCCTCAAGGATCTTCCACCCCAAGATCACTTACATGTGTAATATAAGTTCAAAAGCAGTTCATCAATATCATTTCTAAAACAGTGCAATGCAACAAATAATCATGTCATGTGTGTCAATACTATTCTACTGGCCAGAGAAATGCAGGATTTATATACGTCTAATACTCACAAATAGTGCAAGACGCTACTTGCATCCACCTCGGATCACTGTCTTGTATGACGCCACATACTCAGGCTTACCGTCAAGATGGAACAACACATGCATATTAAAAGCCATTACACATAAAGCTCAACAGAATTTCAAATATCCAAAGCATGTAACACAGCATGCATATAACCATACCCCCCATGGGACATGGTGGAACCACAACATGGCTAAACCGAGGACACGAAAGCTTACCTCTTAAGCAATCAATCTAAGTCAAGTCCACACAAGCTCAATGTCCAAACACAGCAGTTCACAATCTGATTTAGGACCAGCAAGCATATCAATATTCATAGCTCTAAAGCATAAACATAAAGACTACGTTTTCGTTTTGCGTTTTACGTCTTAAGGCTTCCTACAAAACCATAAGCCCTTAATCACTTGATTCTGACTTAGTCCAATTATTACAGAAGTTCAACTTCATCAATCTAGGGTCCACAAACCCCCAATAGCCTACTGTATGAATAGTCCAGCTACTGTTCTTCGAAATCCCAGAATATCCGGATATATATCGGGGGCATATCCGGATATTAATATCCGGATATCTCACTGGCAATATCCGGATATCAATAGTCGGATATCCACATCCCCATATCCGGATATCAATATCTGGATATTTATCGACCAAATATCTGGATATTTCGCGACAGAATGCAGTTTCTGCATTTCGCGAAGATATTCACCAAAGGTCCAACTTTTACCAAATAAAAGTGTTCAAGACTCCATTTTTAGGTCTATACAGGTTCATACACATGTTAGTTACTTGCTTAACCCATTTACATGCAAAGACACCACCTTTAAATCATTTAAACTCATGATCAAGGTTAGACAACTCACCAAAGCTTCAAACTCAGAAATGGAAGGCTCTTAGAGCTCACCAAACAGCTCCAAATATACTAACTTGCAAGGAGCTCGAAAATGCCACACCAAAGGTTGGTTCTTGCACCAAAAGATGACTCCTTGGCACCACAAATGCCAAGCCAAGGGACCACACCCTCTCTAAACTCAAAGTCAGCACCTATCCTCACCAAGGCAGTAGCAAGAACTCAGAAAAACAACCTATTTTTACTTCTGAAGGCTAGAATGCACTCACCCATAGAGTTTTCAGGAAGAACCCAAGAGGAAATGAGGTCTCTTGGTGTCTCAAATGGAAGGAGAATGGGGTGGTAGGGTGGCTGGTGACACACCTTCAGCAAACTCACATAGGAGAAATGTATGGCCTAGGGTTTTGGGCCATACTTTAGTATATATAGTCACTTAAACCATAAACGCACAATATTAACTTTAATTTATACGCTTAGCATTTTAATCTCAAACTCAGGATTCTTAACCTACTCAATTTTACAAGAATTGTCATATTTTCTTATATTTTTCGGAGCACTTTTCTGATACGCGTTTTTCATAGCCACTACCAGTTTCAGGCACCAGTTCTCATTATTTTAACTTGAAACTCGTTTTACAAGTCCTACATGTTATTCTAGTAATATTCATGCACTTATTATAATTTTTCGGGATACTCTTCCGGTATGCATTTATACCGACTAGCAGAACCGGTATCTGCACTTTTCGTCAGAAAAGCGACTTTCAGCATTATTACTCACTTACTATAATTATTAGAGCCTTATAATAATTATTAGGGTCAATTATGAAATTATCTCATTAAACTCATAATTAACTGATTAATTTTCTTAATTAACGGTGCAGGTTCTTACAATTTGTCATTCTTGTTAACAAGTTTGGAAAATTTGGTGTGATCCATAACACGTTGGACGCGTCACAATTCTTGACGGGATACATGTGCCACGTACAGTTTTGAAACTAAACGAGCCATGCACTGTGACGGCACAGGTCTCGTTAAGTTGACCAACGTGCTTGACTGCTGTAGTCAGGAAATACATTTCAAAATAGTTCTGAGTTGGAGAAACTTTTGCCAATTGTTACTAATACGGTCGTTTTGCCCAATATGTATTGATAAAACCATGACTGATTATTATATGTAATTTTTTTTCAAGCAAATCTCCTCAAATGGAGAGAATTTATTGTGGTCCAGGACCACCATTTTTTAGGTGGTCCCTTAGTGTAAATGGAAGGGTAGAATTAGAAAAGAAGAAAAATAGCAGAGGTAAAAAGGGAAAGAAAAAATTAGTGTTGTGAGAGGAAGCACCAAATTATTGGGTGGTCCTGGAGCATATTAAATATTCCCTCAAATGGATGGAGCTTGCACCCTCTTTAAGTGCTTAGTTTTACTTAAGACAAAATATAGATAAAAAAATTTAGGAAAATTTCAAAAAAAATCCTATGAATTTTCTTAATTATCACTTACCCCCTCACAATTTTTTTGAATCATTTACACCCTTATTTAGATTTTTTTTATCACTTATCACTTACCACCCTCACTTAGAGGTATAACTGATAAATTAACTTTAAATCAGGAATAAATGATTCAAAATTTTGGAGAGAGAGTAAATGATTATAAAAAAAGTTATAGGGGATTTTTTGAAGTTTTCCCAAAAATTTATGTACTTGTGCCATTATTCTCAACTACAAACATAACATAAAGTTTATTGCTTTTAAATTTAAATTAAGAAAAAATAAAAAAAAAATGATAGCGTAGCTTAAAAAATAATGCAACGTTACATTTTATTTGAAGAATAACACATGGAGTACCTATTTCTACTTAAATTTTATCATTTTACTTACACGGTTTATAACTACAGTTCATCGGTTTTTTGACCATTGTAGCCTTTCACTAATAAAAAATTATCATCTTGCCCTCGTTTATAAACTATTTCAAAAATTTAACCTTCTCAACGAACATAACATCAATCTACCTCTGTTTGACCATTGACCACCCATTTACCTGGGTAGACCA